TTAAATACCTTAGAATCTAAATACTTCCAAACAAAAACAATTCATGTTTATAGCTGGAATGACGATTGTTTTAAGATCTTTTACTGAATGCTCCATCAGGTCATCCTGATGAAAACAATGTTGATGGAAGATTTTAGACAAAGCAACTAACTCAGCTATTTTAGCTTTTTTCAGCTAAAAGTAACGCAACTGTTGGCAGTTATCTATTGATATTTAGTTACTGTAACACATTTTTTTCATGTTGGCATAAAACAATTGACCTAAATATTATTAAATAAATACAGTAAATAAATTAAGTAGATGCCAAAAAATTTTTGCATTATATATTTTTTTCAGTGTATTTCTGTCAGTTTTTTTGTGCTGATCCCTATTTTGTGTTGAGATTTTTACAGCTTAAATAATTAAAGGTCACCTAAGGTTTCAAAGTCTCCTATTCGTAAACATATGATTAAATAATGCCTTCAAGTCTATGCAGTATTAATTTGTATGGAATATAAGTTGTTTTATTCCATGGAGGATAAACACTTGATGAATTCACTGTATCACACAACTCCTGAAGGCTGAACTAAGTGGGACACCTCTGGAGGCCAAATGTCAGATATTTGAGACCTAAGTGTCTGCTGAAATTTAATCAAACACATCTGCCCAGCTGCTTAAATAAAACCGAAGCCCCCAATACGAGAAAGCGCCTGTTTCTTTCCACTGCTGGCACAGAGAGGTTAAAAAAGTTTGTTAAAAACTCTGCTGGACTATCATGGCTGCTTGTTTTCCAGCAAAGACAGATGGATAAATCATAGGTAATATCACTTTAAGGAGGTTTTTAATAAAGGCATAGCATTAAAACAGTTCAAGCCTCGACTTTACATGACAAAAAAGCCTTTTAACAGTTTTTCTGAGTTCCCTTTCTGACATATTTCTGATCTCAAGTATCTGTGAACATTCACACAATATACTCTCACATAGAGATGAGTTTATGAAAGTTCAACATTAGTAATGGATAATTATCATTGAAGATGTGTGAGTTTATTACATCCTGGTATGGGCTGCCTGTTGCGCATCAGAACTGATGTTTTAATCTAATTAGGACGGTTCCTCTGTCTGGATATACAGTTATAATCTTCATTTTGTACTTGGCAAAGATTTGGAAATGGAATGAGAGCGGCGTCCTATTTTGATAAGGCTGGAGCCACGGATGTTTAATCATCTGTTAACGTGTATGATGTAAAATATGACGATGTGGCTGAATGGAGATGTATAAAATGCCTCTTTAACTGTTAATCGGGGCTATTTCCTGTGAGGTGAGCAGCTGCCTTCTGTACATTCTAAGCAATTTCTCTGATCTGAGTCAGATTACTATTTCTTTCAGAATATGTCGTCCTGTCTCCTGGTTATTTAATGCATATAAGTTATAAAGTGTTATCTAAAGAGTTTTTCCTGAGTGATCTCTTTTCAGGGAAAAGAGC